AAACCTGATCGAGATGGGAGTCATTGACCCAGAAGCTTAAGTACAATACTTGTTATTGGTTCTTTAGAATTATACAATCCAAATGGCAAATAATACACTAAAAGTCGTTAAAATATTAATTTCCTTCTGGATGCTCTGTTTAGTTCCTAATTGTATACAAACAGTTGTGCAGCAGAAAATATTTTACTAGGGACTAGAACTTTTGTATAGAAGAACTTAATCGTTTAATGTCATCTGGCAAAGTGTTCAAAACTAATGTACATGCATTGAATGTGAATTCTTTGTAGTGAGCTGTTGGTACTATCATCTGATGAATATTACTACGTCGAGAGTTGTAGTTATAGATATCAGTGTTTGCTAAGAATATATTCACGCCCGTAAGTCATTTTTGACAAAAGCCACTGATTCACATATCAAGAAAAAAGGTAATGGTACAATACCTATATTAATAAAGAGACTCAAGAATCGCGTGGGTGGGATTTGCTTTTATTCGTACTTTTATTCGTATTCTTTTTTGTAATCTAAACGTCTGGGAGCTATAAGATGTATTTCCCCAGAATATTATGCCATATCTCAGGCGGGAATGAACATTAGCGAAATATACACAACGAGTAGTATGGAGGCTGACTGAATTTGAAAGAATTCTGAATGCGTGGCATAAAGAACTTAATTTAGTGTACAATTCATTTAAATGGACGTTCCATTTAAGGTTTGACTGAATTGAAAGACCTAAAAATGCTACCTTAACATCAGTCCATCAGTCAATGGAGTACAGAGCTGTTTATTTGAAATGGAAAACTGCACTGAAACCATTTTATTTTCATTTACTATTAATTTGTCATTACCCAACCAATTTGAAATATCTGCTATTGTGCTATTTACGATTTCATTATTGCAAAGAATATTCGTATCATCCGCAAAGATAACTATTCTTCCGTTTCTAATCGTCGAGGGCAGATCTTTTGCGTTTAGTAGGAAGAAAATACGGACTAAACTCGATCCTTGTGGGACTTCACATGCAATTAACAAAGAATAGGAAAAGTGTGTACATAACGTTCCATTATTCCAGAGGGTATTTTAACTCTGAGATCGTTGTTTAAGGTACGAACATATCCATTCTAGAGCAATACCATGAATTCCATACACAGGTAATTTTTGAAAGTAAAATCTTACTATCAATTGCAACACTACATTGCAAAACTACTAAATTCTCGGTATCCGAATTGCTTAACCACACTCCCAGCAGTCATGGGGGTTAAACGGCACGAGACACCTAAAATCTCTTAATCTATGACCGTCTAGGAACCCTGGATACTAATGGCGCCAAGACCCTGGATGATTGGTTAAAAGACAATTACATTATGACAAAATTATTACGTTCCAGAAGAATTACTCCACGTTTAATGACTTACGAATACGTTCAAAGAGATTTTTTTGTTATTTAGGGTCGCATCAACATCTAGGTCATTAGCGACCACTATTGCATTTAACGGTATGGTAACTGTAAAAATTGCATGATATGGTAATGATAGGGGGTGAAAGGACGAACACACAACCATGCCCGAGTCGGGACTAGATCCCAGGATCGCGACGGCACTACTGCCGTAACGATCTAGGCCGGCTTCGCCTACAAAGAGAATGAAATGTGAATATGTTGAAAGACGAAAAAAGACTTAGAACATTGTTACGAGGGAGATGAAATATATTTTCCTTAATGAAATCCGTTTTTTAAACTATATCCAAAAATAACGTAAACTAAAATCTCCGATTTTTTTCATTATTTTTGTTTTGAAATGCTGTTAATCAACTCCAGCGACGTGAACTCAACTATGAGGCTAGTGGTGTAGGAGTAACGTGTTTGGAGTGCTACCTCTAAGAACCTGAGTTCGAATCCCAGCACGGAGGAGAAACGAGTTCATGAAGTTTTAAAATTGTGTAGATGTTACGAATAATGGGAGGAAGTAAGAGCAGTTGTACCATTAATTTTGTAGTACACTGTTGTTGATACTGACACAAAACGAATACGTTTACGTCGCGAGTTTGTTTTGGTTGCATTGCATGAAAGTACAGAAGTTCCTTTCAATGTCATGTGTGACAAATTATTATTATTATTATAATTATTATTATTATTATTATTATTATTATTATTATTATTATTATTATTATTATTATCACTATTATTATACTTCATAAATGAACAGGCAAGACAAAAGTGGGTCCAATGACAGTAGTGAGTCCAATGACGAGTATCTTGCATCTTCATATTACATGGATGGCATATTCTTAATAGAATATTTTTCTGCAATATCGAAGTCAGGGATTCAATGGATTTCCCCAGAATAGTATGCGTTTTATCAGATGCGATTGTAATACCGGATCAGTGGCGTAACTTTCCGGCACGCAATGCGGGCGGGCACAGGTAAAAAAGGGCCTACTTTTGAGGATATTTTCATTAAAGGTACTAACACTACTTGTGTTTGCTATACACTTTTATGATGAAGGCCCGCGTATTTTTTTTTCGGGCGGGCCTGCACACATTTCATTACGCTACTCTATCAGAAGGTGTTTTTATTATTGTAAATACCCATATTACATCTTTGCTCATATATTACATCTTTTAATGTAAGTTACACATTTTCAGATTATATTTCTTCTTCTAAAAGCACAATGCACTCTCATGTTAAACAATGGAAACCTTTGCAATTGATTAGTCTAATTTATTTAACCAGGCGCGTATCCACGGGAGAGAATATGGGACATCCCCCGCCCCCACCCCCCCAAAAAAATACTTTTTCAGTGATTATTAATTTTAACTTCTCATGAAACGTTTAAGTAACTAGTGGTGCTAAAACAGCACGTACTTTCTCGCCCGTATTTTCACGCAAAATTACGCGAAAAGTACTCAAATTTTCGAAACATTGTGCATGACCCTATTTCAAAATCTATCTTTAAGGAAGTAATTTCATTAAGGGGAAAATCTCTATCTTTAATATTTTAGTTGTAGGAAGACGCCGAATAATACTTTTGCAATTTTCCAAAAATTAGGGTTTTTAACAAACATGAGACCACCATTCTCTTAAACGTCCTTTACGTTATTCAAAGAAATTATCAAAACCAATTTTAATTTGAAAAATGTCCCAGGGGATTCACGTAAAGTACCCCAAAATTAAAATATCGGTTTCAAAATCCAGAGATCGTGACATCAGCCAGATCGCTGGAGAATATCAATTTTGGAGAAAATCGGCAGAACGGTTTAGCCACTAGCGTTGTTCACAGACAGAGAGACAGAAGTTTTGCCGTCGTTCTATTTTTTGGTTTTAAGGACCCACAAAACAGATTCTGGCTACGACATGTGTTAGAGAATTATTTTCTAAATTCAGCAACTGAATTTATCCACTTTTTCGCTTCCCGGGCCTTACAAGAAGAGTTTGTCTGTCGAAAATTCGCTGTTTCTTCGCGCATCAAACTTTCTCACTACTTCGTAAAAATATTTTTAAATAATCATTAAAACGAATAAAATGGTATCGTAGGATGAGCTGAGTTTAGCCTGCGCAATTCTACATAATATGTAATATGTCACATTCGATCAAAACATTTTGAACACAAAAAATATCTTTATGTACCAATCACAATCGACTCACAGTCGGCATTCATATAATATCCCCAGGATGGGGAAATATAATAACTAAGGCGCAGAATTTGATGACCTTCAACATCGCCAAAAATGATATGAAAAAAATTACTCTTAAAAGTTTTTAAAATGCCCTAAAAGAAAAGAAAAATCACGTAAAAACGTATATCAAAACAAATTCATATACGCTGTTGGATATGTTACTGATGTAATATATCGGATCGAGGGGGGCCATGCTCCACCCACAAGGCTCAGAGAAAAAATTAAAATGGTAAATGTGCAGGAAAAATAAAAATGAGAAACACAAGAAAAAATTGTAGAAACGTCTAAAATAAAATGTATCAAAAAATACCGCGCAGACTGTCCTTAGCATTTTAGTTGCGAATGTGAATCCTAAATCTCGATGTATTTTAGCTAAATGGTATGAAAGGAAATGTCTTCAAATGTTCTTCAGAGGCGTGTGACAGCTCATATTGCTTTCTTACTCCGCGTGAGTGCGGTGGAACTACGACAACTTCCACGTATTGGAGTGTAGCCGACGCAACCGGAAACAGTGTTGACGGAGAAGGGTCTCTCTCTAGGTGCCAAGCGAGTGATCGTGGGCCGCTGTGACATTTCGTACAATTACAGTGTGACCCAAATAAAAGAATAGGGTATGGATCGCCTACATGCGCCTGGAGACGGTGCGGTTAATAAGTACTTAAGGAGAGAAAGAAAAATCTAAAAACAATAAGAAGAAAAGAGAAAGAAATCTAATAAAAAGAAAAAGTAGAAGAGACTTGAGACATATTTTGTGAAGTCTTGTCTTACTTCAGTTCTGAATAGTAATTTTGTTAAGTAAGCGAGTGTTTAATTTGTAAATCGATATCATGTGTATCATCTGTTCACATCTATATCGTAGAATGAAAAATATAATGCCCTAATCCTTAGTCGTTTTGCAGCTCTGAATTCGACGAATTTAACAACAAATTATTACTATTTTTAATTTAAAACCACAAAGTATTCATTAAATATTACATTTAATATTTTCATTTTGTTAAAAGCATTTTATGATAAATAATTTACCTTGTTTATAATTTATATTATCTTTGCACTTATATATTCACACACAATTCCCCCCCCCCCCAAAAAAAATCGTCACTGGATCCGCTCCTAATTTAATAAACATATTTTCATAAACACTCACTAGGACTCTATGTTTTGCCGATCGCAAAAATACAAAACATTAATACCACTTGTATTTGAATATAACTAATTTGATCGAAATAAAAATATACCTATAAAAACATACTTATTTAGTATCTGCAAAAATCAGATCCCGACAGTAGTGAGTTATGGTCATCGTTAACACACACACACACAAGCAAAATCAAAAACCTAATTCATGGGAAGCATTTAAAAAGCAGTTTTCCCGAACTTCTCCAACAAACGCAACTTCGTCGTTCGATGGTGTCTTTGGTGTTCTTACTAAAGAAGAATTGCTTCGTCCAAAACCTCCAAAGGCGAGACAAGAGCTGTTTGCCTTAGATAATGCCGCGTATGCAATAGGATTGTTGATTGGAGGCGCCACGTGCTCCTTCAAGACAGGTGGCTGTCCTGAGAGCAGTTGTATAACACCAACTTATCAGTTTTCGAGTTCATTGCCCATGTGAATTACACGACAATAAGTGCCAAAAATCAATAAATCTTGCATGAATAGTAGGTTACAGACGTTTCTTCTATGAATGAATTCCTTGAAAACAAAAAGACATATGCCTACGTACTTCATTTCCTTTCTTTTCCCTGAATTCGCGATTGGGTATTTTAAAGCATTAATACATTCAGGACTCAACTTTGTGTCATACTAAATATTATGATGATTCCATTACAATGATAACGTTGGTAATACCATGGACTTCTACATGCACTAGTTCTCCTGAATGTTTTAATGTGCATATCCGAATATTTCACATGTAGAACTGTATATACTTATATAATTCATGATTGACAAAATGATATAACAAAAGTATATTGAAATAGTGAATGCATCGTAGATTAAAATTATGAAGTTGGATTCTCAGGCGAGTCTACGGTGATGTCAGTCATGTAAATAAGGCTTTCAACACAAAATTTAAGTACTAGAAATTGCTATTGAACTTCATATTTCAATATTTGAAGATATATTGGGTTAACTTACGGTCCTTGCCAGTAGTGGTAGATCTGCCCCATCTCCACAGGATGGAGGGTGGTAGCCGTTTCCAACAGTTTCACATTTAACATCATCCTCTAAATTATTTATCCATTCTCTAGTGCCGGCATCAACATCATTCGGATAATTACTTGAAGCATTAGACAAAGAACGACATCGTACACAAAACGTGGCGGGTTCGTCAGCGGTGGGGCCCAAAGTTGATAAAGTAGGAATTGGCTCATTGTCATCACTTAACAAATTCACCAGTCCCGTATGTTGTTCACAAGTAGTACTGTCATCAAAATACTTGGCCATTATTTTGTTGACACTGTCAATTACATTATGTGCTAGGTGCACAAACACAAAGAAATGCTGTCAATTTTCGTAAAGTTTTCATGTTACCATTTTCTTCGAAATGTCAAATTAAATAATCCAGAATATACAGTAGTCTGGCGCATCGTTTCGAAAATAATATTCACGCTCATACACATTTAAGCACACACACACATATCAATATGTCATTCCCACACTGAAAACAGCTGATACTGCGAAATACGCGTTTTGACCTGTAGAGCGCTCTCATCGAGCTTGGAGCGAGGAGCATGGATCATTGTAGATTGTGGCTCTTTAATTCGTATCCACATGTCTGCCTAAACACATGGTAAACTCATACAATAAACTGCCAGGTTAATTATACCCTATTACATTTACAGTGGAATCTTTACTGAGTTTTTTCGGAAGTTTATTTCATCGTAAAAAAGGGGGATGTTTTTACTACATGATTAAAGAGAAAGTGTTCACAATTGGCGACTGGGGGCGGCGTTCTCTCCGACATTCTTTTGTTAAAACATGAATAGGAGTTTGCGCACATAAAAACTAAAGCGTTAAATGATCCGTGACGATTCCAAAACCGAGTATAATGAATTTCCCTCTAGAAATCTAGGGTAAGCAAATTAGTGCAGGTCATATAGGAGAGTAACCTCGACGCAGGCAACCATATTCAGTGCACGCTCCGTGTGGCGAGGTCCAGATTTATTCAGTCAGCGGAGCTGGTTCCATGATCCACCGCCATCACTGCGGGTCTTTGCACACGGCTCGCTCCTCTTGCCTCCTGCAACCGCGGGATATTCAGAAAATAAAGCGAGGTTGGAATCGCCAGGTAAGTTTCTTGGTACGATGTTGCTATAAAATCAGTGTGGGATATTCAATGAGTATTTAGATTCCAAGGGTAGCTGAAAGTTCGATGAATATTTTTTGTTCTGAAAGTGGTGTAAAACTGATGGTGCTTCCAGCCAAAGTGTTCGCCCACGTCTGTCGCCCGCTGTTTTTTTGACAGCTATAAATACCTCAGACAATTTATGCGCGCCTAATTTCTAGGCTTATTTATGTGTGAAAATAGAGTGTAAGAATGTACTGTGCCTCACAGTGCTTACGTGTCTTGCCAGTTATGGGCAATAGAATTCATTTTCGATAAATTTTCCAACTGAACAGTATTTCGAACGACAAATGTCTCTGAGAAAATATTCAGTTTATCGCATGTGCTACTGGAAAATGAAGTTCTCTTGTATTTGTGATTGGTGTGATATTATTGTTTTATTTTATGTGCTGGAGGTTAAGATGTCTTAACCTGTGTGCCGTGGAAGTGTGAATTATGTGAACTAATAAGTAATCGTGTGTTGACAGTTCCTTTTAAGGCTTTTAAAGCATACATTATCATCGTGTTGATTTGCTTGTTATTAAACGTGTGTATTGAAACTTTCATGAACCAGCTGTTGATCGTGAATTTCCGCGCTGCACAAGTTGGCCACATTGTGTTAAAGGAAAGGACCCAATTGTAAAATTTTAATGTAAGGAGCCCGTTTCAAAATTTATTAATTATACATGCATGAGGAAGTTGTCATAAGTCAAGCATAACATGTAATTTTTCGTTTTAGTTGGGGAAAAATAAGAAATAATATTGTAGAATACAGGGGATATAAAATTGGTCATTACCATGCTAGAACTTTGAAGTATTTGCCATTATTAGGAAATGGTTCAAAATGTGTGTGAAACTTGTGTTACATACTTGTAAATTACTACGTAGGGCAAGGAGATTGTGAGGGGCAAGTCATTTATTTCTGAAAATGTTAATGTTCATAGGCTGAAAGATGTAAAAAAAGTGTATGTGCAAGTAATTTCATGTAATTCTCTACTCTAACCATAACTTAAAAGAAATCGGGATTTATTATTGCTCATCATAATAAATTAGACACTGTAAGATTATGTCATTTGTGCACCTACTTACATAATTTATTATTATATTCTGCCATACATAGTGAATAAATGTGTTTTCTGTGGTCACTAAAGATTTTGGCAGATTATTTTGTATTGTTAACTTCTAACGCAGTAAAATTTACACTACTATACAATACTGTCACTGTTCTTTTAATATTTTTGATTTTTATTATTGTTATTACAATTTTTAAATTTTATAATGACTCCCTTTATTTTCTTTCTCTTTACCCTAGGTATCACATTCTTTAGAATGCCTGACAAATAAAATGTAAGTATTCATTTTAACAGTTTTAATTCACAAAGATTTTCAATTGTTCCCCTTAAAATATTTACACTCTTTTACTTTCGTTCTTTGAGTGATGTCCTTGCTTCTGTAAAATGTTTTAAGTATGTAATTTTTTTTTTTAATGAAATTTTTTAATAAGTTTTCTTATTGGTGGACTTAAATTATTCATTGTGCATTATGTTTTCTGTTTATTGGAAGATAGTTTCAGTGATGATTTATCCTCTTCAGATAATCTTTCTTGAATTCTGTGCTTCAGAAATATTTTTTATCAGACTTCAAAAGCAAAGGTTTTTTAATGATATAAATCAAAGATTGTTTCCTTTGTAGTCAGGTTTTTTTACACAACTTGCAGTTAATGAATTTCTTAAGTCTTGTTTGTTTGTTCTAACGTCTGTAACATACTTAAAATATTTTTTTGAGTTACTGTTTAGTTGCTAGCAATTGGTTAGATTGGATGTGCTTTTGGCATAAGTGATATACTACCAGTAAAATGCAAAAGTGTGTGGTTCTTATAGATTTTTAATTTATGAACTTTGATTTTTGATTTGATGAGGTCCTGAAAGTCTGATTTCAAGAAATACCTTAGTGGTACCATTGTTTCACTATACGTGAAGCCCTGTACCTGTTGCATCAGTGTTGAGAATCATTACAATTCTGAACATTTTAATTGTTCATTGCAGTTTTCAGACACAAGCACCAAAATGTCAATAAACTACTTTAATAATAATAATAATAATAATAATAATAATAATAATAATAATAATAATAATAATAATAATAACAGCAATAACAATTTTTATATTTTCTCAGTGTACAACTAATGAATTTATTGTAATTGAATTGCTTAGCAACAATAAGAAAATTGTCCAAAATAGTTATTTTTTAACTGCTATTGGCTTTTTTTTTTTTGTAGAGATACCTTGCTAACTTGCTGTTGAGACGAACTTTTCTTCAGTCATGTACCTCAGATGTTATGTATTGAGGAATACCATTATTGTTTGTGTTGAAATGATTTTGTAATGTACACTATGAAAGTAATGTAAAAAAAATAATGCAAATTTTAATAATAGTTTTGTATTATTCAGTAAGGATTTAATTGTTACAATCATTTCAATACAGTCCTGACAAAAAATTTAAAGACATCCTTCAAAAGAAGGTAACGGACTTAAATTTTCCCTAACCTTCACATGTAGAATTGTACACAAAAGAAAATGGAAAAATGCTTTTCATTAATAAAAAACAGAGGTCTGTAGCTCAATCCGTTCACATTTGTGGTTTATAACTTAAGGCATACTTTGAAGAAATCTTTCTAATTTATAATTTAACATATAATATTAATTTGAAAATAATTAAAATTGGTTTTGAAATTTTGTGTACAAATAAGTCTGCCTGGTAGCAGTCATTACAAATTATTGCTAAAATGTGCATTAATTTTGGGGGTATGTAGTAAAATCTTTTTCTAAGCAAAATTGTACTGAATATCTTCCTAATGATTAATATCTTCAAAATTTTTAATACATTTTTCACAAATTTTAACAGTAATTTGTAATGACTACCATCTCGCATACAAAAATTTCAAAACCCTTGACTTGAACAATTTTCAGGTTAATTTATGTTTTTTTAATAAACAAGTGAGGATTTTTCAAGTGTGCTCTAAGTTATAAAATGTCCTTAGTTTACACGGATTTAACTTCAGACCTCTGGTTTTCACTAACGAGAAGTATTTTTCCTTTTCTTTCAAATTCAATTCTTAAACATGAAGGGTAGTGCAAAGTTTAAGTACGATTGTCAATTATCTTCTTTTGATGGGTGTCCTTAAATTTTTTCCCTGGTTCTGTAGAGAGGCGATGGTCTGTGAAAATTTGTGGAAATTGCTTGTGCTAATAACCATCGTATTATTATTACTTTAATTAATTATTAATTAATTAACAGCCTAATATTATTGTCTCTGTTTAATATGCTAAGAATAGATGACTATCGACACAAAACCTTGTAAGTGTGCCACTACTGCATAGGGAATTACTTTCCAGACCTGCATCAAACAGAATACTTTAACACAGATTATAATTGCACACAACTTGGAAATCCTTGGATGCATCCGAGGTCCTTAAAACTACATTTTTCATGACCCTCGGAGGACAAGATTTGGAGGGGGAATGACGAGGGACAGGTGGAGAAATGGAAGGGAACAAGAATTGTTTTGTTTTAAGCTGAATTCAGAATTCAGCAGTTCTCTACAAAATGAGAACTTTTTTAGCTTTCTATTACATATTTCAATATCTATATCTTTGGAGTGCCCCAGCTACAGTAGTATGAGAGGTCAGAAAAGTGTAGAAACCTCAAATCTGTGTATAAGTGAATTGAAGGAAAAAGGCAGAAATAAGATTTCATGATAAAATTGATTTTTCTGTGCAATTTAATAGTGATGCTTTGCAAAATTAAAAACGTTATTCTTGCACAGTACTGGACACACAGTTCTGGACAGACATATAATATAACACACAGTTCATGAGCTGGCAATTTGAAGTTGAGTCCTACTAAGAAGCTTTTTTCATTTTTAAAACAGTTATTTAACAGTTTAAAACAGTTATTTGTGTGGAGTTTTAACATATGTCCAGCTAGTCAAATATAATAATTTGAAGAAATTGGTGGGAATATTGTAGATGCCTGATGCACACAAAACAATTCTAAGACTTCCGTGTTATGGAGTGGGGACATCAGACAACAATAGGTTGAGAACAGAAAAGGTTTATCCATTCCATGAACTAATATGCAAACTCTTTGATTTTGTTGTAAGCATGCCATGAACCTTAGTAATCTGTCGTAGTTCTCTTCATTCACCTAAATGAAAGGGCCTATAAAGTTGATACTTATGAACATGTTTTCAGACTTAACTGTGACCATACCAAGAATCGAAAAACAAGACTGCTTTTAGGGGTATATGGAGATTTCTACACCTTCATCTTAGAGACACTGTGTCACATTTGGTCTTTAAAGATATATCTGCACATTTTTAGTGCAGGCTGCAATTCGAGAGGTATTGTTTACTTGATTTAAAAT